TTACAAGAATTACAAAACAGATTGTGTTACGTTACGTTCATTGTTTTTGGTTGTAGTGTATATATATATATATATATATATATATATATATATATATATATATATATATATATATATTGTTTAGATTGATACAATTTTTGTTTTGTCGGCCAACATTGTGTGTTTTTTCTTATTTCTTCAGAGTGCTACTTTCAATTTATTTTACATCACAGCGAATTAATGACATACTGCTATATATATATATATATATATATATATATATATATATATATATATATATATATATATATATATATATATATATAAATATATATATATATATATATATATATATATATATATATATATATATATATATATATATATATATATATATATATATATATATAGGCCTATAACGTGTTAAGTATTCGGCGCCTTTTTTTGCTCATTTCGCTCCCCCTACAACGAAAACCTGGATACGCCTCTGGGACACACACACACACACACACACAGACACACAGACATACGGACAAGATTGCAAAAATATGTTTTTCCGTATCAGTGAGATGCAAAACGTCGAGATTTGCAAAAATCTCGATTTTTTTTTTTTGCACGATTACAAGACTTTCTCTATACTTCGTATATACGAGAAAGTAAAAATGCATTCTTATCATTTTAATTTTAGGCGGAGGTTTCGAGGCTATTTAAAAAAAAATCCCGCGAAATCCCAAAAGCCGCTGACGTCATACAGTGAGATTACATTTCGGCGGATATGATTGATTGGTTAGGAATTTTGATCAACTGGTTCTCGTTTGTGTGTGTGGGGGGGGGGGGGGGGGGGGGGGGAGAGAAGAGAGGAGGGTAGTTATATGAGAGTGTGCATCATTGTTAAATAAACTTTTAACTGAAGTCGAGGGGGGTGGGGTGGGGGTGTATGCGTTTTAGATTTTCTAACACACCTGCGTCTGAAAATAAAATGTTTCGTACATTATAAAACTTTATGTATTTACCTGTGCTAAATAATGGTGCGTTGATCAGCGCCCAAGGCGAATTCTTTTTTATATTACTTCTGTATATAGACTATATATATATATATATATATATATATATATATATATATATATATATATATATATATATATATATATATATATATATATATATATATATACACATTCATCATTTATAATATTAATAAAAAGAGCACCCAGGGCGCTCCTCCCTCGAGACGCCCTAGATACATATAATTATGTATTAGATTTAGAGTTTAGTCCCTTAGTATAATTTATTCCACTTCCCCATCAATAACACTCAACTCGGCCTTTTAGGCCATAAATCTGTTGACGACAACGGTCGTCTGCTTGACTTTTGTCATTTTACCCAGCCGATATGGGGTGCTGAAATACGTGAGTGGGAGGTGGGTGGGTCTGTAAACTGTTGGGGTGGGGGGGGGGGGGGGTAGAAAGATAAGACTCAAGTGTTTGCTTACATTACAAAAGTGTTATCAATACATGGCCTAGTTTTAAAACACGATTTTCTGAACTTTGAAGATATTTGAAGGCGGGAGGGAAATCTCTTTTGTTTTTATCTTCGTGCTTAACTAATATTCCCTACAACACAATTAAATATTACCTGTCAACATGTTATTTGGTCATATGGCCCGTTGACCCCGATCTCAGCCTGCTTTTCTTTTTGGATTACTCAGAGGCGTAGCGACCCTTCCCGGCGACCGGGGACAAACTTTTCGATTTGCAACCCCCCCCCCCCCCCCCCCACCTCAAACTTTCGATTTGCATTCCCCTCAACCTTTCAATTTATTTTTCCAACCCATTTTGGCGACCCTTAAGGTCGGCGCCCGGGGACATATGTACCGTCGTTCCCCCCCCCCCCCCGCCGTCGTCCCCCCCCCCCCCCGCTACGCTAATGGGATTACTCCACCCAAAAGTGCAAAAACAATCTACAAGGCAGCTGTCAAATAAACAATCTACAAGGCAGCAGTTGCTAAATTTTGGAGTCTTCTCTCTTGGATGGGTTGCTGTCTCCAGATAACGAGCCTCATCTGTCCGTAGGTCCGAACTCGGAATTTATGGAGTTAGAAATCATACACCCCCCCCCCCCCCCCACCCGACAACGCCGTCCCCAATCGCTACTGTTATTTCTTGAAAAAATTTGTTTCGCTTATTTGAAAATATTATTTTTACTTGCGAAATCAAGGTAGGCCACACGACTGTTAACTGTGCTACTACAAACCTATATGCTAGCACTGTTTAATCACGATTTGGTGATTCCATTTGGCCTATTCCGTGTAATAGACCTCCCCCCCCCCTTTCTATTTCGTCGAAAGCCATTCTTTAGACAAAGATAAAATACATACATCATTTATTTATATTACTTGATGCTACAAAACTGCTGTCGGCGAAGTGGTAAGTCGATGAATCGTTTTTCTGCAAAACGGTATAGCAAAAACTGCACCCCCCCCCCCCCTCTGCAAGAGACCAAATGTTAAGATTGCTGTTAGGCCAAACCGGATATCGACACAGAAATAGGCCGCGTCTTAACTCGTCTAACTATTTGACTTCACCTCAAAGGTTTCTATACCTTGTTTGAAAACAAAACCACGCACTGTAGGTAAAGAAAAATAATTGTAACACTTTCGGTCCTGATGGTCTATAGGGAGTAGAGTTTATCTGATTCTGTTAGTTTGGCATATGAAGAGTTAGCGTGGTCACATTTCATAGGTAAGTAGAACCTATTATAATTTTTATAGAGATGTTTTAATTTAGAAGCTTTATAGTTTGTTAAAAGTACTGTCGTGTTTTGTCATATTTTGTGTTGGTTATTTTAAATGTTGGCAACATTTTGAGTGGGCTACTTTTGTTTTGGCTACCTATCTATGCTGGCTAAGTTTTCACGTGATATCTTTAGTCTTGACTCTCTATTTTATATTAATGCTACCTTTTCATGTTGAAATATAGAGATTGTATCTCTTTGTAAACAGAGTTTCTTCCAGATGGAATTTATATAGAAAATATATACTTTAAACCGTATCCGCCTCCTTGGAAATTTTAGTCCGCCCCACCGAAAATTTTAAGTGTCCCCCCCCCCCCCCCCGGAGAAAAAAGTGTGGAAGAAACACTGTTTGTAAAGGTTGCACATCATTAACACATTGTGTCGGGCTTCAAGCGCAGAACACAGTATGACTTTCATTTAAAAATAAACCGGGAGTGATCTCCCCTAAACTTTCTCGAATATTCTTATATAAAACAACAGGGGGTGGTAACTGGGGATATAGTTGTGATTTTTAATCCATTTTAAATACTTAAACTTTTAAAAATAGAATAGAATCTCATAAAAAAAACATTGCGCACCAAGCAAACGCCGAATAAAAACGCGTATAATAGTGCGCAATATTATTAGTACTTTAAAAATTTACATTAGTTTTTTGAGAAATCGGAAGTAGCGTAAATTACTACTTCCAGTCAACGGAAATTACTCAAAATTTAACAGAAGGTAGAGAATTAGATCTTTTACTTACATGTGAAATTTCATTTATCTATCTGAAATAGTACTCAAGTTATAGGCTTTTGAAAAATTCAAAGTAGGAAAAGTACCACTTCCGGTTATCGGAAATCGCTCAAAAGTTGATACGGATCTACGATTTTGATAAAATACTTATATATGAAATTTCATCAACCTAGCTGTAACGGTACTCAAGTTATCGTGTTTACACACGGACAGACAGACAGACAGACAGACACACACACACACAGACATACGGACAAGATTGCAAAATTATGTTTTTCCGTATCAGTGAGGTGTAAAACGTCGAGATTTGTAAAAATCTCGATTTTTTTTTTTTTTGCAAGATTACAATACTTTCTCTATACTACGTATATACGAGAAAGTAAAAAAATTAAACGAGTCTAGAGATTTATACTTCATCAAAGAATATCAAGAATGAAAAGCTTCACACAAAAAAACAGGGTGAATAGTGAAAAGTTTACAACCCATATGAGCTGTTAAGACCTAACTCTTTTTTTAAAGTGCGAAAAGCTGCGCATTGGTGACAAAAGCAGACGATTCAACACGCGAACAAAAGGTGTTTAAATAGCTTTTCGTCTACTCTAATATAAAAAAAAAACAACACAGGCTATTTTTATACTGGAGGGAAGGGAGTGGGCGAGGGGGGGGGGGGTGTCATTGCCCATTGACGATGTAAAAAGTTAGGTAGAAACTTGACAAGACGGATGTACACAGCGTTTCTTTACCTGAAATGTTAAAAGTAGGTCGCGCCGTGTGCTTTATTTGACTGTCAATTTTTTTCGGAATTCTATTTAGAATACAGTTGTAATGGCGATGAAATTTTTTTTTAAATAGGCTTGTCAGGTTATTTTTACAGGTGATTTATTTAACCATTTCGATTTATTTTATGGTGCACCTGTATGTTACACATCTGGTGTACCTGTGTGTTACACAACTAGTTCACATGTATGTTACACATCTGGTGCACCTGTATGTGACACATCTGGTGCACCTGTATGTGACACATCTCGTGCACCTGTATGTTACACATCTGGTGCACCTGTATGTTACACATCTGGTGCACCTGTGTGCTACACGTCTAGTGCACCTCTATATTATACAACTACCACACCTGTATATTACACGCCAAGCGCACTCATATGTTACACACCTAGTGCTTAAGTTACACCCCTATTACGTCAGTTCTAGACACAAGGCACATTCTACGCAACACACCTAACATACCACTTTGTTACACTACAGTTACACTGTTAGCTCATGAGTTACACACCTAACATATTATATTACACACCAAGAAAATCACACTTAACAGAACAGAAATTAATTTTGGAAACAGTAACAATTAAGAAAAAATATTACTATCGGTCATTTACCGTTGTTTAACTGAAAAAAAAGCGTGATGTATTTTTATAAATTCTACTAAAATCCCGATTTTGCACTGGGTATTACCAATGCATTGTACTAAGATGAATGTAGGCTGCCAAACTTTAAAAAAAAAATGTTTTCAACTTTTCATGAAAAGATCGCTTATTTTATTTTATGTGTTAAACTCACATGACCATTTTGTTTTCTAAACGATAAAAACGTGACACATTTTATGCACATTCTTTCAGCTCGTTTTTATGAGGTGGCATTTATAGCTCTGGCGTCTTAGCTGTAAAGGCAATTATATTGCTTTCTTTTTATTCGTCTTTGTTATCAAGGTATAAAATTTTAGTAGGATTTTTTTTTTAATATAAAAACTCTGGGTGCTGATAGTTTGTAATTCCAATGAGTAATAATTATAAGCTTCTTGTGCATTTATGTATTTAAGTATTAAAAATATTTTCTTAATTAAAAAAAAACAACAAAAGAACAACACTTAAATATATTTGTCTTCTCATTTGAGAAAAATCTGACCAGTTTGGCCAAGTAGGCCAAAAGCTTGTTGGGAGTACAGATTTGAATATAACAAAATCTCACTTTTCTATTGCTTTTAATATGCGTATTTTCGCGTTGTCAAAAGTATATTTTAGATTAGCGTGCGTTTTATCTTTTAAAAACCACCACAATGCTTCAAAAGTTAAACCGAAATGTAAATAAACAACAAACATTACGTTATTAATTATTAGCAGTGCTTAGGCAAAAGTTTGCCATGGTAAAAAAAAAAGGTGGGTTAACATTATTGAAACTGAGCGTTGAAAACGACACGATTGAGAGAGAGGTCACTACTCGCTTTAACATAACATTTCATAAAAGAAATTGTAATTTTGAGGATCTATGTGAACTATAACAACCATTCAACATCCATTGATACGCCGCAGAGCATTTTCAAAAAAATACATTAATAACACGATAATATACGACCAGACCGATTAGGGCGGAAATACTTGTGGGATAATCGAGCGAAAGTGCAACTCACACTGAAAAATATCCTGACCTAAACAAATCAAAACATCTAGATCTATTTCTTTTAGAATAAAAATCAGATGGCTTAGTAGATTATCCCATCTTATTTATATAATGCAATGCATATTATGATCTTATAAGCTGCGTCTGAGTAGGCCCTAGATCTATATCTATTTGATCTTGGTTGTACTTTCATTATTCCAATTACATTTTCATTTTCAAATTTCAGACTTACGGTAGGCCTTCAACAAGTTTTATCTAGGCCTATTTGACTACAACTTTTAAAGATGGAAGCAGATTTTGTTTCGTTAGTTTTAGCAGCAGTTATAGTGCTGGTACTGCTTTTGTACTGTATGAAAAAACGCAGAACAGTACCTGGCAGAAAAGGTGTGTAGATCTAAAACTTAAACTCGGATCAAGACCAGATCTGTATCTAATCTAGATTCTAGATTTAGGAATGTATGGACCTTTCCTATAGAATGTGACATGTTTAAATGAAATGTTGGCCTACATTTAAAAAAAAAAATTAAGCTTTTAATATGGATTTGGGAGAATATCTAGATCTAGATCTACTTATTTAAAATACACACATGGCTGGCCAATGTCAATGCTAACCCTGTCCCTACGCCCTACACTACCCAGATGTAGGTAGTACCTAACTAGATCTACTAAGTAACTAATACTATAGTAACTAACTACCTACCTATTTCACTAGTATTTCACCTAACCGTAACCCTGGGTCCTACCATATGCCTAAACCTAATTTCTAATCATAAAATTAGTCGAGATTACAATACTACTAACAACCCAACACACCTATTTTATGGAAGAGTCTATATTATCTGAAACCAGTATCTGTCCATAGATTCTAGTCGTCTAAATTTACGCATTCACTCGTTTAGTTAGTAAACAGATCTACAATCTAGTTAGTTAGGTTTAATACAAAAATGAAATTAGCCTAGCATCATTCAGGAAAAAAAGGGAAAGAACGAGCATCTATCTAAATAATACTAAATATAGATTAAGATCTATATAGATTTATAGATCTAGATCTGGACGCTAGACTCTTGAATACAATAGATCTGTAGGTTGTAGATTTCTAGGTAGAGTATTGTAGACAATTTTTAAAATTTAGACTGTTTTGTTGCACTAATTATTAATTAAAGTAAGCAGATTTTAAGTAGTTTGTAGTTTGCATTACTTTACAACTGTTGATTACCATTTAAAATTCACATAGAACAAATATCAGGTGAAATAGGAAGTCTCTTTTAACTTTTAATCAACTATAATCAGTGTTTCTTCTCTAGAGGGAGGGGGGGGTGTCTAGTAAAAGTATATGTTTACTATATAAAAAATTATAAACTCTTATCTCGTTCGAGGAAGGGGTGGGGTGGTAGACCTTCTTCAGGGGGGGGGGAGGCAGAGCCCCCCCCCGAAGAGATGCCTGGAAGAAACTGACTATAATTCACCGTTTCCATCACACTTTTCTCAAGTTGTTTTCTCTTAGCAAAAATCTAAGGGACAGGTTTTTTTTTTAAAATTTTTTTGGCACAAACGATTAAAAAATTAACAAACAAAACCCTTTCATGAACAATGGGAAAAAATGAAATTTTGATGATAGGGGAATAACTCAAAAGAAAAGGCATCTGATGTGTTCGAACCCACATCTTCCGGTCACCCCCATTTCCATTCGACCACACAACTTCATGCTTAATTTTGTGTTTTTAACATAACATCTATCAAAAACATTCATGACTGTGAATAGCCCTAATATGGCTATTGCTAGTCAACTGGGAATAGACACTTCGATTAACTTTTGCATTATTAAAAGTTTTATTCACAAATTGATATAAAATTGAACAATAAACCTAACTTAATCTTTACCCACATTATATTTAAAAAATAGAGGGGAGACAGAAGTGTAATGTCATTTTGAGTTAAGGGAGGGAATATAGAGAACCTAGCTGTGATCATTGGGAGGAAAGTGTATAAAAATAAAGTACTATAGAATCCCTATAGTTGTGACTATAGCTAAAATAAACATTTTAACCATTCCTTAAATTTCTTATTACCCAGATCTAGTCTAATTATAATTATGTTTTTACTAAATATAGATGCTAAGTTGTAGGCCTATGAGTGTAAGACTTACGCTCAGCTATACCTATGTTGGCCTAAATAATATCAAATAGATTTTATTTTGGCCAACCAAAAAGTAGAAATATGCAGAAGACATAGACTTTTTTCCAGGGGGCGGACACTGTTAAAAGTATATATTTTCTATATAAATTATATAAATTTCATTTCGTTCTGGGGGGGGGGCGGTAAAAATTTTACGGGGGGGGGGGGGGGCTTCGACACCCCGGAGAGATGCCTGGAAGAAACTCTGGACACGTTTTTATTCAGTTCAAAGTAAGGTTACAATACATTTAGACCAGATATATGGCTGAATTAAAGTATCAATTTACAGCAGCTGTTTCTCTATTTTCAATATTTTAGGTATTAGTGGAAAGTAGCCTATTTTGTGTTGTTTTTTTTTTACTGTATTAGAAATTTAAATAAAATTTAAAAAAAAGTGGAAATAAATGTATATTCTTTAATGCAAATATATGCTGCCTAAAGATTTAAAAAATTCTGGCTTAATAATTTTTCTAAATTTTTTCCCCTTTTAAGCAGGTTTTTAAATACAATTCCAACTCTTCTATCCTATCTAGATTTGCCTGCATCTGAAGAAAGGAGGTTAATATCTGAAGTAAAGGAAGAAACCATCAAGACAAGGAAACAGAAAAGTTTATTTGCTCAAACACAGCGGGCGGAAACTTTGTATGAACTGTTTAAAGCAGAGTCAGTGCAGAAGGTAAGCTTTTGTTTACAATAGGGAAAAAATATATTAAAATTTAAATCAAGTTTTTACAGAAAATTACACTTTAAAAGCTTTTCTTTCCATGTAAAAATTAATATTAATGTCAGTTTTTTGTTCACAAATAGAACAAATCTGCTTATAATGAAACAAGCCCTTAATATTAATATCATTTTATTTGTTTTCTCAATACATTCTCGTCCTAGATTCAACATAAGATATCAGTTTTTGAAAGAAGATAATACCAATTAAAATGAATTACTATGCAATTATTGTCGCATCATACACTTATACAATACTTTATACTGAATTAGTAGCTATATCAAAGTAAACTTTTTGATATTACTATTGAATTTTAGTGCATATGGGGAGGGTCGAGAGGCAGTCTAAAATTGAGAGTTTGTGTGGATGTTATAAATGATTGACCCCTTACCATAGAGATAAGAATTATATTTCGGATTAAAGCTTTAGTAGAGCAAGTTTCAATGAAATACCATGCAGTATGATTTTGTACAGAGTAATGAAATTTTCAAAATTTAATAGCCCTAGTTTATTAAAATCTTTGTCATGCTATGTTTTTTTTTTTATAAAAGCAAACAAACTATGAATCTATGGTTTATCATTTCAGGTTGCTAGTGAGATTAAATCCCTTGATGAAGTCAGTGCTGTTATTGCTAAAGCTGGTTTAGAAAACTGCAATTTAATATTTGGTAAGGAGGGAGCAGATGTCGTTTGAATATTCCAGACACAATATAGATTTCTTTTAAATGGTTATTTTTTTAGATGCTTCCTTTTTAAAAACATAGACTTTCTAGGTTTCTCATATTTAAAATTGAATTATTTTTGTTAATTATTCTGAATCATTGTTATTTGAAAAATTTCTCGTTTTTTAAGGTCATTCTGAGTTTAATTGATATTATTTTTTTATTTCAGGTATCGATTATACTGGATCTAATTATCTCCAAGGTAAAAAAACATTTGGGGGGAAATGTCTTCATGACATCAGTGATAAAATCCTCAACCCTTACCAAAGTGTGAGTAAAAAAATAGTTTAACCTTAAGTATATATTAATTGACTTGTAATATAGCATTATTGTGTTAATTTAAATGTAATTAGTATGTAGTGTAAGATCTTTGCAGCTTGAGAAATAATTTAATGATTTGTTGTTGTGTATTTAGGTTATTTGTGCACTTGGTGAAACTTTGGAGCCTTTCGATAGTGATGGAGCTATTCCAGCCTTTGGTTTTGGAGATGCCTATACTAAGGATCGCTCAGTGTTTGCACTCAAACCTGATGTAAGTTACCCTTGATTTATCTCACTAAGTGCAGAAAAACTTGTATTTTACCTTAAATCCTTGGACAATTTTCATTCTAGACTAAACTTACAAGTCTTTCTCACTAAATGTATTGATTTATAACATATGCATTGTTAATGCATAGTAGTTTGAAATCTTTTGTGGCTATTTTTTTCAACTGATTTCTCAAGTTTTATTTTGATTTCTAATTTCTATCAGTGAATTTATACATTTAGAAAGAATGAGATTTAAAAATAAATAAGGCATTTAATAAAATATTTTTTTAAAACATCAAATTTATTGAAAGCTTAAAGTGAATTTATTCCCAATCTAATAATTCTATTTTTTTAATCAAAAAGCATATTGAAATTAAAACGAGTTATTTCACTTTGATTCCATGTGGCAGAATAGTGCTAACAAAAGGTTGGACTTAAAAGGGTTATCTGTTGAAAATGATGTTAAGTTTACCTTATAACCCAATACAATTCTATAATCCTGCCTTAGAACCCAATACAATTCTATAATCCTGCATAAAGAACCCAATACAATTCTACAATCCTGGAAAAAATCCACTGAACAAAAAAATCCACTGAACAAAAAAAATATTTCTATATTAAATGTATAACATTGTAATCCACAGGGAATTCCTGCAGGCTTTAAAGAGGTGCTTGAGATTTACAACCAGTTAACACCAAAAGTTCGCCTGGGTGGCCCTACCAATTTTGCACCACTTATCCGCCAAGCTATTGATATAGTTAAAGAAACCAGATCCGTAAGTGTTGTTTACGGAGTCTACATTTAATTAGATAATCAACTTTCCTCTTTAGAAAGCAAAATATCTTTTCCCACTCCTTTTAAGAAAAAGAATTGCAATGACAAGATAAACACAAATGAAATGAATCTTATTTGATTAAATCAATTCATTGTTTATTTTGTGTATTTCTTAATTGTTTACTTGGCCATTTCATTCCTAAGAAGTGGCAACAAATTTTTTTTTGCTGTAAAAATATTTTTTCTTTATTCTAAATTTTTGTTCCGCTTATTTTTATAGTATCACATTTTGGTTATTGTTGCTGATGGGCAAGTGACCAATGAAAGAGCTACTATAGAAGCCATTGTTGAAGCATCTAATTACCCATTATCCATAATCACAGTTGGTGTGGGCGATGGACCATGGGATACCATGAAGGTCAGTTACTAAATTAAATGTTGGTATTATAAAACAAACATTTTTAAGAAACCTATGGAATAAAGCCTAAGCACAATACTGCCTTATGTAGTGCGATGTGGTTAAGTGTAAAAAATTTTTTTAAAGAGTCATGGAATATTTGGAAATCTGAATGTCACAATTTTGTCAGAATTTTATTTGGTTTATGAAATTAGAAAAAAGATTATGTACTTTAGCACAAAAAATGGAACGCGTAGCTTTTTTAAAGAGATCATCTTCAAAATAATTATTAAGTTATAGAGAGCTTTGCAGAGAAATTACTCCACAAAATAAGCATTTTTTAATTTGGCTATGACTTTGTTGTTTAACAAACATGAAGCAACTAGTTTATTTAATTTCAGGAATTTGATGAAAAACTGCCCATTAGAAACTTTGACAATTTCCACTTTGTTGACTACGCTGCTGCTATAACTGGTGTCTCCAACCCAAATGCGTCGTTTGCTCTACATGCATTGAAAGAAATTCCTGACCAGTTTAAAGCCATCAAAAGACTCCAACTCTTGTAAAATGGTTTATCTCACTTCACTTTTTAATGTTCCAGGTGCATCAATTAGTTGTTTTATAATCTCCCTTGATATATGATGTGTTTACTAGTATACAAATTGAACATTTATTTCTATTGTTAAGATTTTTATTTCAGTGAAAATAGACTTAGTTTTTTTCTTTTAACTTAAATTCCGGTTTATTTTTTAATAAGATAAGCAATTTCTTAGCATTCCAATAGATTATTACAATTTATCTAACTTTTACATGTACATAGCAATTAGTTTTATTAAATGTATTGGATAATGTTTTTAAAAAAAGTCACTTTTTAAATCAGCATTCTGAATATTATGAGCATATTATGCCTTTGTTATTTTTTGCATCAAATTAAAGTCTCTCATAAAATCAGTTTATTACACTAACATTTTAATAAGGCAGCCCACATTAAATGAGTTAAGTTGTGTGAGTGCTTGATGCAAACTTAGAAAAAGAAGAACTAAAATGGATGATTGAGTTAGTATACAAGTCTGAAAACAGTAAGTTGAGTAGGTATTGTGCATTATGTAAACCTTGCTGAGGATGAAAATGGGGTTAATTGAATGGGGGGGGGGGCCTGCAGCAGGGGTAAATGTTTGACAATATCATGTAGCTAATAAATTTTGAAAGCTAATGGTTTGTATTGGCAAAATGTGCATATTTTTCCCCCTATTTATTTTGTTACTACATTAAAAGGAAATGTCTAAATTTTCATTGTAAAAAGCTGGGTGTTTTTCTCTTGATATTTTATTTTTAAAAAAGTTTTTCATATGCTTTTAAAATGTGTGTGTGTTGCAATCAAATATGCATGTTTTAGAATATACAATCAAATAAAAATATTCATCTGCAGGTTTTTGTACAAAACCTATTTCATCTTTTCTTCCTACTCTATACACATTATTTTAAACTGCCAGAACTTCTAGACACTGAAGAAAAACTTTATTTATAAAACACTCCACATTTCATATTTACAGTGTTTGTTTTAAGAAAAAGATATGAAAATTAAACAGCAATTTGTTTATACAAATTTTGGTTCTTGTCATTGTTATGTTGGTTTAGCATGTGGGTGTGGAGGGGGGGGGGTGTGTTTGCTGCCTGCCTGGTGTTTTGCCTGCTTTGCCTCATGCTTTTTCTTGCTTGCTTGTTTCTTCCAGGGTATTGATCCCACCACTTCTTGTTTATGGAGCTTGGTCACTAGCCTCTGCACCATTTGGTCCCCCAATAGGAAAGCTGTACAACATGTATTTTAATTTAAGTTTCTTAAAAAAAAAATTATGAAATTTTTTCTTTTTTTTTTATAAACTTGTATTTTTTTATTTTATGGTTATTTTCCCCCCCTCTCTCTACCGTTTCAGTTTTTAAAAAAAAAATCAATCAGTATTGATATTGGTTAGAAACACAGTACATAATAGAGTACTTTAAGAAAAATTAAAACCATCAGGTATTTATATGGCAAACCTTAAAAAATTATAAGTTTAATTAGATATTAATAAATATTTTATTTCTTGGAACTAGATTTAGTTACGAGTTGCAATATTTATCACACCGCCAAACACACAAATGGTTAAAAATAAAAACTAAGATATTGTAGCTTTTGAAAGAATAGGCTACAAACTTACATGCATACAGCAAACATACACATGGCTAAAACAAAGAAATATCATCTGTAAAACAGGATACTATACACTTACATGTATGTAAGAAATATCTGTAAAACAGGATACTATAAACTTACATGTATGTAAGAAATATCATCTGTAAAACAGGTTACTATAAACTTACATGTATGTAAGAAATATCATCTGTAAAACAGGTTACTATAAACTTACATGTATGTAACAAACACATTTCAAACATGATAAAACCCATTTTAAATAATCATTCTCCATACAATAGTAAACAAAGTATAGGCCTAATATCTTATAGAATTGTCTCAAATAAAATAAAAATCATTGTAGTCATGTATCTTGTGTGGATCAAAGAAGTTAATTAAATTAAAATGCTAAAATTATAAACAGATCAAATTATCACTGGCAGATGTGATTCTAATAGGTCAAACTGCTGAAGTAAAAGTAGTAAATTAATACATAGTGGACGGAAGTGTACATTATCACATGCAACTCAGCTTTAAAATATGGAATGCCTGTTAAAACATGACTAACGAATTGCCTATTTTACAGTTGAATAGACCAAACGTTAAAAAAAAATAACACCCACTTTACATTGTTAATATGTTTTTCAAACACTTATAAAAAGTAAACTGAAATTGTAACAAAAAAAAGTCCAGAAAAAAACAATAAAATAGAACATTTTTAATAAATGGGAACACTACAGGCAAGTTTTCCCATTAACAATATTAATATATATATGTATATGTATGTGTGTATGTATATATATATATATATATATATATATATATATATATATATATATATATATATGTTACGGTCAAAGCCCGAAGTGCGGCCAAACCCCGGATTGGCCGGCCAATGCGCGGATTGGCCGGCTCTCTTGGCCAAAGCCCGAAGAACTTAAAACTAAGATCGTATTTCGTACATTGGCCGGCCAATGCGCGCACTGGCCGGGACGTACTGGCCAAAGTCCGAAGTGCTGAAACTTGACAGCGTATTTTGTACATTGGCCGGCCAATGCGCGCATTGGCCAAGATGTCCTGGCCAATGTTCTATCTAGACTAAGTTATGATCGCGTTTTCATTATTCTGGGTGCGGTTTCATTGTGAGTAACGTATTGTTTAGCTCTTGTTTGTATAGCATTCTATATGCAAGGCGACATGGATCAAAAGGGCCTTCAGACCATGAGACAGACATAGCAGATGGATGTCAAAAGAAAAAAATTGTAAACCCATGTTAGTTTCCATAAATGGGCTACAACTGTATGTGACAGCCTCCTCCATGATGACGAGGTGAGACAATCACGTTAAACAGGCTAAAGCAAAGCAGACAAAAAAAAAACTGTTGACTATCGTCGACTAAACAAATATGATGTTATTGAAGTTGACGGTAAAGAAAAACTTATTGTACCACTAACAGAAGACAATGGTGCTATTTTGTACTACGTGCACTCAGAAGAGTTGTTCGACTTGATCAATGAAACTCACTTGAAAATCGGACATGGAGGTCGCACAAGGATGGAAAAAGAGATCAAGAGAAAGTACAAAAATATCACCAAAGAAATCATTACTATGTATCTTCGGTTGTGCAAGCCTTGTCAGACAAAATTGTCTAATCCCAAGAAAGGTCTTGTTTCCAAACCTTTGATATTTAAAGAATTTAACTCAAGATGCCAAGTAGATCTTATTGATTTGCAGTAACCCAGACGGCAAATATAAGTTTATACTCAGTTACCAGGATCATTTAACCAAGTTCATATTGTTGCGAGCTTTGGAAACGAAAACAGCAGAAGAGGTTGCTTACCAGCTGCTGGATATCTTCACGACTATTGGTGCCCCAAGTGTGCTTCAATCAGATAATGGAAGAGAATTTGTGAATCAAGTTATTTCTGAACTAAAGAACATGTGGCCTGAACTTAAACTAGTTCACGGAAAACCAAGGCATAGCCAAAGCCAAGGTTCAGTCGAACGTGCCAACCAAGATGTTCAAAACATGTTGATGACATGGATGCAAACAAATGAATCAGCTCATTGGGCTGAGAGTCTCAAATTCATTCAATTTATGAAAAATTGTTCTTTTCATCAAGGAATCCAACAATCACCATACGAAGCCTTGTTTGGATGCAAAGCAAAAGTGGGACTTAGCACTTCAAATCTACCAAGAGAGGCTCTCAATAAAATAGTTACTGAGGAAGATCTTGAGAATATTGAACAATAAATGGAGGTTGCCATAAATGCAACTACATCCTCAGCTAACACATCTGCTGCCGTGGCGGAACGTCCAGACCAGTTGCGTGACAATAATGTGGCCAACAGATTCTGTATAGTTTGTGAAAAACATTGTAGTGCAGCTCATTCTTGTGGATCCTGTGGCAAAGATGTCCATGCTATTTGTGGAGTACCCAATGAAGCAGACGAAGGGTACGGAGGGAACATTACCTGCAGATTGTGTCACAACAAACAAGACATCATGGAACACAGGTCAGCAGCTCATACTGGCTTGCAAAATCAAGGTACTAAGATGTTTAAAACATCTAATACAAAATTTAAAGATGCTGAAGTGGGTGACAATGTACGTATCCGTGTTCCAGATGTTGACAGAAGTCGCAGTGATCCCCGAAGCGTGATTGCAGTTGTCATGAGCGTCGAGGGCGGTTTCTACAAATTAGGAACGGAACATGGTGTTCTAAAACAACTGTATGCTAAAACTGCTCTTATTGTCGTCAGTTGGCACTGAGGAAAAATCACTACGAACCATCGCATCTTCCCAATCATTGACTGGGGGCCAAGGCTACACTCGCTGTAATTGCACAACCAAGTGCACAACAAATCGCTGCAAGTGTAAAAATAACAAGCTGCTATGTAATTCTAAATGCCATAAAAGTTCAACTTGTTGTAACAAATGATAATATTGATTGATTGAGACTATAGTACAATAAAAAATTTGAATGTTTCTGTCATTTACTTTAATTAATAATCAATAAAGACTAAATTTCATGATCCTTACGGCATTAAAAAACCCAAAATCTGCTAATGATTTTCTAATTCGGACTTTGGCCGGTCGTCCCTAGCCAGATGATCTTCTAATTAAGACTTTGGCCGGTCCACCATGGCCAGTCCGCGGACTGGCCGGCCAAAGGCCGAAATGAAGAGCTATTTCAGACTTTGGCCGGTCCACCATGGCCAGTCCGCGGATTGGCCGGCCAAAGGCCGAAATCAAGCAAAGTTTCGGACTTTGACCGACCTATGGGAGGCGATATTGGCCAATGCGCGGATTGGCCGGCCAATCCTAGCATTGGCCGACTTCGGGCTTTGACCGTAACATATATATATATATATATATATATATATATATATATATATATATATATATATATAAACTATTTTAAAAAGTGGATACATTAAAGCTACATAACAGAAATAGGAACATATATTTGTGTCAATTCTTTATCTTACTGATACTAAATTATTTCAGGTCAGCTGAAAAAACAACAACAAATTTCTGAAACTTAAATTGTCAATAAAACTCAATACAAAAATAGAAAACAAAAACACAACAAAATATTATCAACAAATAAATAGTTAAATAAAGAGTTAAAAAGTTAATAAAACATTTTTCAAAACTTAAGTAAACAAAAATCTGTAACATTAAAACTTGAGAAACAGGAATGATTTTTCTCAGATTTATTTTAAAAATATTTATACATCATGTACCTTAGTGTAGTGTAGAGTAATACAAAGTTTGGTATATTATGGCTATAAAAAGGATGCTTTGTTTTATTGCTTAGGATTTTATTTGATATACTATATTATTTTTGTAAAGAATATTTATATCATTTTGAGCTATATAAAATAAATTGATGTAATAATCAAGCGGCCAATAATTAGCAGTACAGTGGTAGATCACCTCGTTATAACTTTCCTATCTAATTTAAAAATATTTTTTCCTACATGGATGGAAGTGAAGAATTTCCTTAAGATTCCAAAAAAAAAACATCTGAAAAATTTTTTCATTTATCAAAATATTTCATAACAATTTCCATTTGTTTTCCAAATTAAAAGCAAATGTTTTGCATATGAAATAATTAAATAAATGCTGCAGATTTTTCTTGGTAATCTCCAGATAAAAAATATATGGACAAAAAACAACTCAAGAGCAAAATTGTTGTACTAATGAGAATACTTGTACAACTTACAAAGTTGTTAAAATCATTCACAATTAGAATATTTATAAACAATAAATTTAATGTTATAAGTTGAATTTGTTATAAAACACATATAAATTAGATTACAAATATCACAGATTATTTTAAAAAATGGAACTTAAAATATATAAATACTGAAGTTCATGACCAAAATATAATTTTGTGATCATGTAAAAAGGAAAAAAAAAAGTAATTTGAGTTTGTCCATAGATCTTAGTAATCACTGATCAACAAATGTATACAAACAGGCATTATGGGAAATGCTGGGTAAGGGGTGATTACATGATATAGTCCAAAAAACATTGGTAGCTACTTAAGTGCAGTTTTCAGGGACAATATCTGCACTGCATTCTTGCATAGTTCACATGTTCAAAACTATCATTTTAATATAATTGGAAAAAAAAAGAAAATTCAAAAACTCATTTAGCTGAACAGTTGACTAATGATTTAAGTTTGAGAACTGTTTTTAACTATATTACAACACAGAAAGCAATTCTTGGGATGGTGAAGACAATTACAATTTTATAAAGATTGTTAAAAAATTTTTGTCTATAAAAATGTGTAGCTGTATTTATTTATTTCTACTATTCTTTCAATTCAGTTTACTAATTACCGAAAGGTCACATTACTAACCTATAATTAATCGGTATTCAAAAACACAACACTTAGTGGTGGTTTTTAGGTTAACTTATAAAGTCTAAACTGAATTTTAAAAATCCATCTTTTTTTATTAAAATTTAGTTAACTATGATCAAAGTGTGGCTACTAATAAAGTAGCACAGACATTAGAAACTATTGAGTGTAGTTACACATGTAAATAAGGTAGCGCAGACACACAAACACAAACATCCCTGAAAACAACTCCTGTAGCTAAACATTCCTTTCCAGAAGTCCACAGCTAGTCAAGTAGAGAGAGGACAAATCCACAAAGTTGTCTTGCCCAGGGTTTGATTGAAACCATTCCTAAGTATCCCCCTCTGCACCACAGAAATGTCATGATATACCAAACATTTTAAAATAAACAGTGGTATTCAAACTTGTAAATGATAAGCCTGAATCAGTTGAGGGCTTAAATCTTACAGGAATTTACTAAATCAGATGAGAGCTTAATTCTAGCTTAAGTGACTTGATACGTTTTTATTCACATAACTAAGAATTATTTTCTTCTTCTCAAAGCAAGTTTAGAAATCTATTATGAGGCTTGATTCCTGATCTAACTTTATGAAGTTTTTTTTTGTTTAAAAAAAAGACAAGTATTCTAATACTGGTTTGAAAAAAAAAATTCTTAATGACAGTGAAAAAAAAATAATGTAACATTCTATGGTCAACTTAATTTCCTCTCTCTGTGTGCTCCTTAACTCTTTTAACACCAGAGTAGGCGTGGGTCATGCGCAACTTGTGGTCCTCTCCTGGAGTGCTTGCGACCAATGAAACTCTTGAGATCTGCATCTGAGATGGATTCTGTTGTGGTAAATGCTGTAATGTTGCATGCTTCTTGGAACTGCTGGCTCCCCCTACTGGAACTGGCCTCTGTACATGGCTGTTGACATTGGCACCAGTGTTGATAGTGGGAAGAGTTGTGCTAACAACTGATTTTTTTTCTGTTTTTGATATAGCTGTGGAGCAACAAATATATAAATAAATAAATGAATAAATAAATAAATAAAAAAAATATATATATGGAACTGGATATGTATTCTTAGTTAAAAAGGGAAGGAGGGTAAGTTACCAGGCAGGGGTAACTGATCTAGGGAGCAATATTGTGTGTGTGTGGGGGGGTGGGGGGTGCCCTAACCCATATTTTTTATGAATAAATATTGGTAATTTTTTTTAACTGAGCACTATTTTATTGCTATTATTTCAAAAGAGACTCATTTTCTAATTTAATTTTATGTCACATACACAGTTGTAAAGTTTTTTTTAAGTCAAAATTGATTATATGTTTTATTAAAAAAAAAAGAAATGCCATCTTTCTTGACACCATATTTGAGAGTAAGTTACAGTAAAGTCAGATAAGGTCTACAGTAAAAATGGATGGCTTAAAGATGTTAGTTTTCCCCACTAGAGCCAGTATCAATAGTGCTTTAAGATGAATCCAGTATGACACAGAGCAAAAAAAAAAAACACCATTTATAGTAGATTCACACAAACAACAAAAAATTAATTTAAAAAAATATAAAAATGGCTTACAATGAAGCTATGCAGATAGATTAATAAAAAAAAAAGCTAAAATGATTCAGGCTGTATTTGAAGCAAGAATGAAAATAATATTTGAATTAATTTATAACTTTGTTTACTAAAGAAACGAGTACAGTTTCATAAAGAAACAAATAAAGAAAAAAAAAAGTTTTGTAAAGAAGCAAGTAAAGTTTCGTAAAGAAACAAGTAAAGTTTCATAAACAAACAAGTAAAGTTTCATAAACAAACAAGTAAAGTTTCATAAACAAACAAGTAAAATTTCATAAACAAACAAGTAAAGTTTCATAAACAAACAAGTAAAGTTTCATAAACAAACAAGTAAAGTTTCATAAACAAACAAGTAAAGTTTCATAAACAAACAAGTAAAGTTTTATAAACAAACAAGTAAAGTTTCATAAACAAACAAGTAAAGTTTCACTTAAAAGATGCCAGCCTTACATTGAGTTGTGTCAGATGCTGAAGCGTAAGGACTACCATAAGTCTGACCGCTGTTTAACTTGTTGACCACACGGGGTGGGGACTGGCGTCTGATCCCAGGTGTGGGTGAGTTACCTGTTGGTAGAACAAAAATTATTCTTTTATTTGATGTCAGATCAAATCTGAAGCTAGAAAACTAATCTAGAAAATTTGAGCAGAAAATCTTAGACTGTGGGATATACGTTCCTATATTATTATTTTTTTTTATTATAAGGAATTGATTTATAATCTAAACAATATTATAGAAAAAATCCATCTTTTTAAAATTTGAACAAAGTAATTCTTAAATACTTAGGTATGAAATAACTTTTAGTAAGTTATTACTTGTATGCCTACTTCAAAATTCTGACATACTAAATATAATACTGTTATTTTTAATTAGAAATCTTTAGCTATATGTATGATAAAAGACACATAAATATTAAATATTACATACATTTCAACAGTGAGTAAAAATAAAAAAAAAAAAAACAAAAACAAAATTTTCTTGAAAAGTACGAAGGCCAAAAAACTGTGTTTACCATTTGCATGGCAATCTGAAAATGTTAACAGTGAAAAAAAAAAAGTCAACGTGAGAACATTAAGAAATCCAGAACAAAGAAAAAAAAATTATTGTCCAACATTTTCCCAAATAACGTCTGCAGGAACTGAAGGTACAAATGTCAGGAAGTTTAAATGTTCTTTCAAGCTCACAAAGTAAAAGACAACAACTACAACAAAGCTAGTTTTTAAAAAGAGTAAAATTTTTACAAGACAGCTACCCTCAATTCCATATCAAGCAGACAAATTAATTAAATAGTTTTTTTAAGCTGTCATTATAGATTTATGTAAAAAAAGGAAACAATAATTGAAGACCTTAGTGCTAAAAGTACTTAAGTCACAAAAACAACATTTTGAGATAAATATGAGTTCAAAGATTAAAATTTACTATAAAACATTACGTTTTTATATTATTTGTTTGTTTGGAGGAGCAACTTAAATAAATTCTTCAGTATTACTATTTGTTTATAAGATAAAGTTAAACTAGAGGAATAACGATCAATGCTTGATTTGATTTCCACAAAAATGTGACTTACGTACTTTTAGCACTAGGCTCTTCAATTGGAAAATGAAAATAAAAATAACAATGTAAATATGAATTATCCTGCAAGTTTTACAGATCTTTTCTTCTATTAACAAGCAAATAAAGCAAAATATTATTTTATTGTCAGATCATTTATTTTAGTTAGTCAATAGAAACACCACTCTATTCTGAAAAAGTTTTTTTTCCAGGTTACTAAAATCAAAAAATGTATGTGATATACAAAATTTGTACTAAAAAAACTTCGAGTAGCAACTGGGACATATGAAATGATGTGCACTCAGTGTGAAGGCCAATATCCGAAATGTCACCTTATCTTCCACATTTTTCAAAAAAGTTCGTGCAAATAAAATTTTTGTCTTTATTCTTAGGATTCTTAAAAAAATTACCAAAAACAATTTTTAGCTGTGTCTCAATTTAGGTAAAAAGATATCTACTCCACACTGAATATAACACAATAGGCTAAACACCATTTCACTGTGCCAATATCTCTACTACAGCCTACGTTAATTTACAAGTGGAAGTCAAAATTTTGAAAAGTAAAAACTTGCAGGGAAAATTAGAAGAAAAAAAAATGTTCTTTCATAAAAAAGTAACAATAAATAGTGAGGTTTTAAAACCTGTTGAAAATGGTTCAGATAAAAATCTGGCATTCATGTAACTACAGCACTGGGGAGTTAAATGGCGGTTAGGCTGCCCAAGATTTCGGATATTAGCTCTTTACACATTCAGAGTGGAACACTAAGTAGAAAAAAATTAGAGATAAATTTATGATATTTAAAAAAAATTATTTAGTCTTTTGTCAAATAAATAGTCTAGATAAAAAAATCATCCTGTTTTTTAAGCTTAGTTTTACAACCTAAATAATCTCCTAGTTTCAAGTTTAGACAGTTTTTAATACTAAATACAAAACTAAATGTAATTAATTATTCTATTTATGACTAGTTAGTGCTTTTTAATCCAAAATACTTTACTTTTACAACATAAAAATGTAAAAAAAAAATATTAATTTAACCAACCACCTTAAGGTTTTCATTTTTACAGAAACCGCTACAACTTTATAAAATTTTACAAATGTACAACATCTGTCATTTATTTTTGTATTGAAATAATATAGGCCTAAATCTATTTTTAATAATACCAGTAAATGTGGATTAAATGTATTGCAGACTTGAACAAAAGAGTGTATACATCTGTATATATGTATATAACTTATAACAATAGTTCACAACATATGTTTAATTGAATTGTGTACTTAAATGTAAAAATAGACAAATTTAATATAAAACTAAATTTATTTTTTGTTGATGATTTAATCTTAGACTGTCAATTTCTTTTCCATTCTTTTTATAGACATGTCATCTTTTTAAGAAAAAGATTATCGTCATCTCTTTTTACAATGAGAGATTTCTTTTTAATAAAAAGAACAACGAACATCTTTTTAAAAAATAATGCCTGTTAAAATGAAATTATGATGGAATACATCTTTTGTCAGGATAAGCTTAATGAGAGAACTAGGCTCTGTCGGTCACAGTGAAATGTCATCTTAACTTTCAACTTCAAATTAGATGTAAAATCCCTACAGTTAGCACCGTTTCATCAACCTAACAAAAGAAATCACGGGATAAATTTCTGAGATCATACAACCTGGCAACAAAAATATCACCCACCTGTATCAAACTTTTAAAAAATCAGCCTCAGTACTGCCAGCCATTTACAGCAAAAAAAAAAAAAATTTCTACCACACTGAGTCGAGGATAGGGCAATGATCTTTACAACTATCTATAGACTGTCTTGTAAGCAGGCCAGATTTCAGTAGTCACTCAAGCAGAGAGAGAGAAAAATTAAAGAGAACAATTCTGGATGGCTAGGCTGGTGCTATTGACCCTAGGTCTTGAAGTTTACTCTGCAAATGTTTTCGTCGGCCTAGAAGAAAATGGCAATGATGGTCACACATATTCATCATTAGTTTATGCACAAGCTCAGATAGTAACAATATGGAAATAAATACATGACGTTAATATTGTTGGTTAGTTTCAATAACCCTAATTTAAGTCAGTTTAAAAAAAAATGATACTATACGAAATTTAAAACAAAATTCAAGCAATTTCATTTACATATCAAGCCTTACATCTTTTAAAAGATTAATCCTAAAACAATAAAAATCTTTTACAACTTTTAGAGTCATTTCCCTTGGGAAAAAAACAACACAAAAATTGCACAAAAATCTATTTAACATGATCTTACACAACAGATAAGCCAAGGTTAAGGATAAAAAAAATAGCTGATCAGTAAAAAAAAATATGCTCAAGTATGATAAAACCCTAGGAAAATTTCAAGACCGCCATGATCAGATAGCATGCAAATGGTAGGACGACCATGGCCCAGGTACAAGTAACTAATATTCTAATATGCACACGTTGGATATCTTGAATGAACTTAAGCGTTTTGGCACCTGTAGGACGACCCATGTCTACGGCGTCCTTAAAAGGGGACACACTGCGGATCTGGCGTTGGCTGCCTGATGCATGAGAGCCACAGTATAAAACATTGTAGCCCCCTAATGAGTTGAGGGGCATCAAAGGCTGGCCTTTCCTGCTTTTATCAAAGCACTCAATGGCAAGATCTGAAAAGATCAGAAGGAAAACTAACATCTAAGACATGAATTCTCTTATGAAGAAGATTTCATGTAGTAATATGCTATTATCATTATAATAGACAAAAGGAAATGATTTTATAGATTACAAAACATTAGTCACATTTTGTATTCCTAACACCATGTTCTCACTTAATAGAAGAAAAGGTTAACATAGTGTAACAAAAGTGCATTATGTTACTTACACAGTAACAAAAGGTACTTAGTGTAATAAAAGTTACTAACAGTGTGACAAAAGTAATTAGCAGTATCAAAAGTTACTTACATTGTGACAAAAGTTACTTAAAGTGTAATAAAAGTAATTTCCAGCGTAACAAAAGTTACTTAAAGTGTAATAAAAGTAATTTACAGCGTAACAAAAGTTATTTAAAGTGTGATAAAAGTAATTTCCAGCGTAACAAAAGTTACTTACACAGAGCATCCCTAACAACACAAGGGATAGCCTCTTTAAGAGCTTGACAGTTAGTCCACAGGGCAGGGTTAGCATTGATTTCAATGAGCCACACCTGGGGATTAAGATCAAGTTTAGTCAGCCACACCTAGGGATTAAGATTAAGTTTACTTAGCCACACCTGGGAATTAAGATTAATAAATCTTGGATATAAATATTGTTGGATAGTTTCAATTTTAAGTCAATTTAAAAAAAAAAGACATTTTAAGAAAACTTTTAGAAAAGTCTAGCAATTTCATTTACATTTTATCAAGTCTTACATCTTTTAAAAAGATTTATCCAAAAACAATTAAAATTTTTTACAACTTTTAGAGTCATTTCCCTTGACAAAAAAAAAACTGCACACAAATTTTATTCTTATGAATAGCAGACAGAGATAATCATTAAAACAAAAACCACATTTCATTCACATTTTCAGTAACATCAATATCTAGAGTTAATTTAGAGTTTAGCTAATTTTTTAAAATGTCTGACTGTTTGTTGTAAACTGTACTTGATCAGTAAGATACCAAAAATTCTGAACCAACCTTTAAATCAGCGTCGACCATAAAATCCATACCATACAAATCAAAATAACCAACTTTACATTGGAGCTTGTGTTTGACACTATTGAAACAATGAAGTGTTATTCTCTGCATTTGTTTCTGGAGGGGAATACAACACATTATCATTTTAAGACAGAAAAGTAATGTTGATTTTCTAATCACCAATGTAAGGGATGAATTTATGTGTTATTTAATCTGGCAGTCCCGAACTCTACCCAAGTCCTTACTACATTGGGAACAACATGATTATATTTTTACACTGGCTACAGTATTACAGAATTCTACAGATAGCCTCTACTCCACCTGTCCTATAGACTAAGTCCATCAAGGCAACCTGTAACACATCCATATCAAACTAAGAAAAAATGGCTAAATCAATAATATAAAAATAGACAGAAATTATTTTAAAACAAGTGAATAATTTCTTACCGTCAAGCCACCAAACACCCAATCCTTCTCAATATTTCTATCTTTGGCAACCGTTTCGTTGACATAGTCGTTCAGCTTGTCCATGGTCCAGGCCGTGTCTTCCTTATTATCTTTGTAGGTTGGATCTTTTTTCTGAACAAACTGGGAACACATTTCATATATTAGGTTGGATCTTTTTTCTGAACAAACTGGGAACACATTTCATATATTAGATTGGATCTTTTTTCTGAACAAACTGGGAACACATTTCATATATTAGATTGGATCTTTTTTCTGAACAAACTGGGAACACATTTCATATATTAGGTTGGATCTTTTTTCTGAACAAACTGGGAACACATTTCATATATTAGATTGGATCTTTTTTCTGAACAAACTGGGAACACATTTCATATATTAGGTTGGATCTTTTTTCTGAACAAACTGGGAACACAGTTAAGATATTAGGTTAGACTTTTTTAAAAACAAACTGTAAATACAATATACAGTACAACCTAATTGAAGCAATATTATATAATCTATATATATATAATTCTCTACGCGGGACCATGGGGTACACCACTACCACCATGTATGAATGCTGACCCGCCCCCTCCCTCGCTCTCCAGGCATGCGCAACAGGCCATATTTCGATCACCCCCACCACCCACATGAGCTGTGGTTCACGACGAATGTTTACAATCGTAGAGCCGGGTCGGATTAATGACTGCTATATTATTAAGTGCAGATAATTTAGTTTTTAAACAATTTGAAACTAAGGGGAGGTAGCAAGTTCTACTACATTATTGTCTGTAAACTGTAATCACATAGGCTGCTTGCACTGGAGCGAGGGGGGGGGGAGGGGTCAGCTCATATAACCTATTTAAACAAATGTTGTTCAAAACAGCCAATACAAACAAATATAGCCACACTAATATCTTTTTATAATTTTAGCTCTCAAACCCATTTTAAAGGAATTTTTTACTAGATCTAAATGCTATAGAACAAATTACGGTAATCTATCGTTTTGGGTACGTAAAATCGCCCGCGGCTATTAATGTACGAAAACGTTACCTCATTGTCAAGGCTGTAATAGAAGTATATTGTGATATGTTTGTGTCAAATATTATAGATAAATGAATAATAAACATAAATCAATGGCTAAATATATCAATATAGGCCAGAAATTAACTTTAAACAGCAGTGTCTGCAAGCAAGATTTGCTATATAAACAGCAGCCATTTGTAAAGTAGAGTGACTTCCGCCTGAATCTCGCGCTATTAGTCAATAAAAATAAAACTTTAACAAGATGGCTGCTATAGTAAATGAGCATGGTTGCATCTGTTGGAAACATTGCTAGTCTTCATTTATTACTGAAAAGTTTTTATTCAATTGTTTAAAAACAGGTACATAAATGAAACAAGGAAACATTTTTGTATTTTTCAAAACACAAATCCTCCTCAAAATGTGAAATTATTATTAAAATTTAAGGAGTCACCTGTTTTTCACATTACTAGTCACGGGCGATTTTACGTACCTAAAACGATGGATTACCCAAATTACTAACCTATCAAAATGGGAAAAAGTTGTGTACTACAATTTTAAAGTTTTAATCAAAGCTGTATTTGACTATGCTTAATTTTATTTTACACTAAAATTATTTTCCTGTTTGCTGGAAATATAATTCAAACCATAAATTTAAAACATGAATAACAAAATATCCTTGATGAAAATCTACTAACAAGTGATGCACAGCATTAACACATGAAAAAACAATCAAAGGGAAATGGATAAGCCATTTTGTTGTTTAAAAAAGTTTTGGTAGTTACTTCCCCTGACATAAATCACCAAAATATAAATTCAAATTTTACCTGATTAGTAAGGTGGGTGGTGAGGTTGGTATCATCCTGATTATACTTCTGACAAGACAGTCTCACATAGCCATTGTGGAACAGTACCAGAAATGGGACAGTGCTTGCTATAAACATGTAGGCTCTAATATCAAATTTTCTACCCTCTATGAGCAATGGGTTGTGTATATATCTGCAGAGGAATTGAACAGACACATTATTTTTAGACTATTCGCATGAATAGTTCAAGCAAATGAACAATATTTATAGGGCCTAAACATTATTAAGTTTTTATTTTAAACATCACAAAGTTTTTAACCATATTTTCCAAATTGTTGCTCGACATACTAGGCGCCATGTACAGACAGTGGTGCAGTTCATTGTAGCTAATTCAATATTTCCTTTTATCCCAATATTGTATTTAGTCAATACATTATTAATACTCAACCCCAGTATGCTGCTGGGTGTAAAGGGAGAAAACTTAGTTATAAATCATGTAAGGGACAGTAAAACCTCTTCTAGGTATAAGGGGAGGGGAATTTATCTCTACCTGGTATAGAAAAAACTCATCTCTGTAAGGTAGGGGAGAAAACTAACTCTACTTGCTGTAAGTACAAGGGGGAGAAACCTAACCTAACTACTGGCTGAAGGGGAGAAAATTCATCTCTATTCACAGAAAAGGGATAAAACTCACCTCTGTACTATTCTCATCTGAACCTGCCGCGTCCATGAAGACTTTGCATCTCTCTCAGACAATAGTTGATTTATCTCATCACGAGATCGGAGTAAGAATATGCCCTTTCCCTGATTCAGGCTTGTCGGTTTACAGATCCAGGTTTCCCCATCTGTCATACAAAATTTTTAATAAGCCGACAAGCTTTTTTATTTGTGTCAACCGTAAAAATAAATTAGTTCTGTTTTAATGTCTTTATTATGTCAACTTTTGTGCTTTTAATATTTATATAATGTCATCTGTGCTAAGGTTATAAATATTTTGTTGTATCAGTAAAAAGTCACTTCTACAGTTAAAAAACACTTGGTTTTTTTTTTAAATTCTTAATTTAAATAGTAATAATCAGGGTTACTTTGCTCTCAAATTAGAAGTAGATGCCAATGAATGAAGTGGCTGGTATTATATAGGCCTATATATACAAAATAACTAGATTTATAGGCCCCTAATATTAGTTACTATAACTATTGAACTCAATGACATGATGGCATTGTTCGCTGTGATTGATGGGTAGGTCCTATACAAAATTTTACCCTACATATTCACTCAGGAATCTATCCTACTTGCAGAGGCCTAGCGACCCATTCAGGCGAACTATCAATTCTGTGCCCCTTGTCATTTAAAAATATTTCTAGGTTCATTACCAGTAGAATCTATACAGACTAGATCTACCAGTCACTTACCCTTTGTATTTTAGTGTCACACAATTGATGTGGTTTGATATGTACTAAAAACAAGTATCAGTCTATTTTCTTAAGGGGTCATCCATAAATCACACAAATGACACACTTTTTTTGACGATTTTTACCTCCCCACTCCCCTCCATCACACATCGTCACAAAAAGCCAGACCACCCCCCAAAAATGACACCACACCTCAGCCTACAACCCCCCCCCCCCTCAAAATTGCAGTTGAATTTTTCTTAAAACATCGCTATTTTTCCAAAATCTTGTCTGAACTCTGTCAAAATAGAGTATTTTAATCAATTCCTATTGCAATTTATTAAAACAGTTTTCTAAAACGCGAAATAACGTCTAAAATTCGTTTTCTAACATTGCTTTTTTTAAATACAAAAGTGTGACGAACCATCTGAATCCCCCCCCTCCCCACACACCGTCACAAAATTACGGACCCCCCTCCCCCCTACGAGTGAGACCTCATTTATAGACGACCCCTAATTTAAAAATTTTGATTGTGAGTAATGCAGCCCACAAGAAGCTTTTTATAATTTTTACTCTACCCCGTTTGACGCACCCCCTAGGGTCGACGCCCGGGGCGGCCGCCCCACCCACCGTCTGCCTACCTTTACATTTACTCATGAATCTATTCCTATCTTTATCCTACCTTTATATTCACTCAGGAATCTATCCCTATCTGTCCTCTCATCCAACTTGAAAGTTTCCGGAACAAAGTCAACCATTTTTAATCTGGGTAGCCTCCCTTTTGTCAGCAGAGTTACCCTTTCATACTCTTGCAGACTACACAGTAGGCCGAGTTTGTTCGTAAGAAGCTTACAATTTGGTATATGGTTAACTAGCTGCTCACCTGGGGAAAGACAATCATTGTTTTATTAAAGAAATAATAATAGTAATTATTAATCGTCTTATTAAATAATAATATAACACTTACACATTTTCGGGGTTGGGGGGGGGGGGGGGGGGGGAGAAAGGGGGGGGGGACGAGATGAGATGCACGGAAGAAACACTGGTTAATCCTCCCCGAATCAATGCATAACACTATCTAACATTAACATTTCCTTAAGTTAAGCAAGGATCAGCAACCTTAGTAAGCAATGATTATTGTATCGTATTGTTCTATAACAATTGAAAAATGAGTTCGAAATGATCGAAGAATTTTACTCATGCTGCTGTTAATCATTTACAGAAATTACTGGCCTTGAGGGGGGGGGGGGGGGGGGAGGGAATGGTTGAAAGTTTGATTCAGGCGCAGAAGGGGTTACCATACCTCTGATCTGGTAAGTCAAAGTGCCCTGTACTACCAGCCTCAGCCCTAACTCAGACCTAGATTTCTCTGGGTAAACTTAGGCCCAAAGTTCTGGAAGAGCTAGGCCTGTACCACAATTAGGAAATTGTACCAAGCAATAGGTTCGTTCAAGAAATACCAACTAGATCTAGATCTATGTTTCAGAGGAAATATTATATGAATCTACTGTATAATCTTCTGAAATAATGATGTCAATACACTTTGTTTTTGTGTTACTTGCTCAGGATGACTGTATTTCATTAAAACAGGACACGTTCATTTAAGATGCATTGTTGATGTCATTCTAAATACTGTGGTCATTTGAAATATTTTGGTCATTCTAGATCATGCGGGCATTCAATATATTGCGGTCATTCTACATATGTGGTACCTCGAGCTATTGTCATCATTTAAGCTATTTTTGTGGTCATCCTGTGGTCGTTTGGCTGTTGGGGGTATTCCGAATACCGTGGTCATTTGAATTGCTGTGGTCATTCTAGGTAAGTGGTAATTTGAGCTAGTATAGTCATTCTAGATACCATTAAAGCCATTGTGCCCATTCTGGGTACCTTAGTCATTCTAGCCACTATGGTCATTCTAGCCACTGTGGTCATTCTAGCCACTGTGGTCATTCTAGCCACTGTGGTCATTCTAGCCACTGTGGTCATTCTAGCTACTGTGGCCATTCTAGCCAGTGTGGTTTTACTAGCCACTGTGGTTATACTAGCTACTGTGGCCATTCTAGCCAGTGTGGTCATTCTAGCCACTGTGGTCATTCTAGCCACTGTGGTCATTCTAGCCACTGTGGTCATTCTAGCCACTGTGGTCATTCTAGCTACTGTGGTCATTCTAGCCAGTGTGGTTATACTAGCCACTGTGGTTTTACTAGCCACTGTGGTTATACTAGCTACTGTGGTCATTCTAGCCACTGTGGTCATTCTAGCTACTGTGGTCATTCTAGCTACAGTGGTTATACTAGCCAGTGGGGTCATTGTAGCCACTATGTCATTCTAGCCACTGTGGTCATTCTAGCCACTGTGTTCATTCTAGCCACTGTGGCCATTCTAGCCAGTGTGGTCATTCTAGCCACTGTGGCCATTCTAGCCACTGTGGTCATTCTAGCCACTGTGGTCATTCTAGCCACTGTGGCCATTCTAGCCAGTGTGGTCATTCTAGCCACTGTGGTCATTCTAGCCACTGTGGTCATTCTAGCCACTGTGGCCATTCTAGCCAGTGTGGTCATTCTAGCCACTGTGGTCATTCTAGCCACTATGGTCATTCTAGCCACTGTGGTCATTCTAGCCACTGTGGTCATTCTAGCCACTGTGGCCATTCTAGCCAGTGTGGTCATTCTAGCCACTGTGGTCATTCTAGCTACTGTGGTCATTCTAGCCACTGTGGTCATTCTAGCCACTGTGGTCATTCTAGCCACTGTGGTCATTCTAGCCACTGTGGCCATTCTAGCCAGTGTGGTCATTCTAGCCAGTGTGGTCATTCTAGCCACTGTGGTCATTCTAGCCACTGTGGTCATTCTAGCTACTGTGGCCATTCTAGCCAGTGTGGTTTTACTAGCCACTGTGGTTATACTAGCTACTGTGGTCATTCTAGCCACTGTGGTCATTCTAGCCACTGTGGTCATTCTAGCTACTGTGGCCATTCTAGCCAGTGTGGTTTTACTAGCCACTGTGGTTATACTAGCTACTGTGGTCATTCTAGCCACTGTGGTCATTCTAGCCACTGTGGTCATTCTAGCTACTGTGGTTATACTAGCCAGTGGGGTCATTCTAGCCACTGTGGTCATTCTAGCTACTGTGGTCATTCTAGCCACTGTGGTTATACTAGCTACTGTGGTCATTCTAGCCACTGTGGTCATTCTAGCTACTGTGGTCATTCTAGCCACTGTGGTTATACTAGCTACTGTGGCCATTCTAGCCACTGTGGTCATTCTAGCTACTGTGGTCATTCTAGCCACTGTGGTTATACTAGCCAGTGGGGTCATTCTAGCTACTGTGGTCATTCTAGCCACTGTGGTCATTCTAGCCACTGTGGTCATTATAACCACTGTGGTCATTCTAGCCACTGTGGTCATTCTAGCCACTGTGGTCATTCTAGCCACTGTGGTCATTATAACCACTGTGGTTATTCTAGCCACTGTGGTCATTCTAGCTACTGTGGTCATTCTAGCCACTGTGGTTATACTAGCTACTGTGGTCATTCTAGCCACTGTGGTCATTCTAGCTACTGTGGTCATTCTAGCCACTGTGGTTATACTAGCTACTGTGGCCATTCTAGCCACTGTGGTCATTCTAGCTACTGTGGTCATTCTAGCCACTGTGGTTATACTAGCTACTGTGGTCATTCTAGCCACTGTGGTCATTCTAGCCACTGTGGTCATTCTAGCCACTGTGGCCATTCTAGCCACTGTGGTCATTCTAGCCACTGTGGTCATTCTAGCCACTGTGGTCATTCTAGCCACTGTGGTCATTATAACCACTGTGGTTATACTAGCCCCACTGGCCGATCTTGATACTGGAACTCGATTCTCCCAATGAGAGACGAAACAGATAAAAAAAAATCAACCAGACAGCTGTCGGGACGATAACAGGGCACGGGAAGATGAAAAGAAATTGTCTCTAAATAATTGATTTGGTTGCCCCGTGATATGGACCGTGGGGATGGGTACAGATGGGGAGGGGATTGGAATCAAATTATTGCCCCACCCTGGGTCGACATTGTAAAGAGTAGATCCAGAAAACGGGAGTATTCACAATCGATCTATTCACAAAATGGGTGTAGTCGCAAAATGGGTATATTCGCAAAATGGGTTTATTAACAAAATGTGTGTATTCACAAAATGGGTTTAATGAAAAAAATTGGCGCATTCGCGAAAATGTGTTTATTCACAAAACGGATGTATTCGCTAATTGGACGTATTCACCGATTGTTTGGCGGGTGTTTGCACAACATTTGTCCCACAGCAAACGATAACATTTCAAAGCGCAGGAAAAATTTTAACATGCTAACAATACAATTTTCACCCCCCCCCCCCCCCACACCTCCACCCTTTTCCCACCCCACCACGAACACTTGGCTGTTTAATCACACAAAATATTTGAGGCACACATTCCATTTAACGACAGGCCGGCCAGAACGACTATGCTAAGATTGATCGTAAATCGATGAATGCAGGTGAGACCTGCTAACCGCCCCATTCGAGAACTTTTGTCTCAATCACAATGGCTGGAAGCGCCCGATCGTTAATTCCATAGTAACTGCTAGTCAACACAACAACTACATGAAACTTAAACACAGTTTTCTGATGAATTTTTTTCCCCACAATTAACGTTTTCCGTATTCTATTTCTCCTGTTATTATTTTTGAAACAAATTGTAATTAATTTCACAGCGAAATTCAATTCACACGATGCTAGCTTAGCCAAATATGAAACATTAATATCAGGCTAGCAACAAAGAAGCCAATATTCGCTACATTGTCCCACTGTTGTGTTCGTATACTTGATTAAAAACACATTGACTGTATTGAGAGCCAGTCCACACCGATTGAAAACATACAAGAAGAGTTATTTTTGTGGTAAATATTTAAAATGGTAGAAGAGAAAAACGAGCTAATTTCATATCACTAATTAGATCCAAACCTCACAAACATCCCCTTAGGCTTATCTAAAGAGATCGGCTGGTTAAAAAAAAAATATAAAAGAAATTATCGTTAAAATTATCTTCCATACTCGATTGGGCGGGGTGGGAGCGGATAGGAGGTGGGGGGGGGGGGGAGGAAGGGGGGGGCGTTGTCCAGGGTCAAAGATAAGGCCAATAAAACAAGCGGGATCACTCTTCTTATTTACAGAGGTATTTTCTCTCCCGACCAGTTGTCTCCACTGTCATCCCCTTATCGAATTATTTCCCTTTATCGGCGCGGTTCATCAGTAGCACGGGCCATCTTCTTGGTGTGTGGACCGCTGGGCCGGTGTGAGTGGACCCGTGGGCCAGTGTGAGGACCACTGGGCCGGTGTGAGTGGACCCATGGGCCGGTGTGAGGACCACTGGGCCGGTGAGTGGACCGCTGGGTTAGAGAGTTGATCGCTGGACAAGTGTGAGTGGACCGATAGACCAATGCATAGACCGATAGACCAATGCATAGACCGATAGACCAATGCATATACCGATAGACCAATGCATAGACCGATAGACCAGTGAATAGACCGATAGACCAATGCATAGACCGACAGACCAATGCATAGACCGACAGACCATGGCATAGACCGATAGACTAATGCATAGACCGATAGACCAGTGAATAGACCGATAGACCAATGCATAGACCGATAGACCAGTGAATAGACCGATAGACCATGGCATAGACCAATGCATAGACCGATAGACCAGTCGATATACTAATAGACCAATGCATAGACCGATAGACCAATGCATAGACCGATAGACCAATACATAGACCGATAGACCAATGCATAGACCGATAGACCAATGCATAGACCGATAGACCAATGCATAGACCGATAGACCAATGCATACACCGCTAGACCAATGCATAGACCGATAGACCAATGCATAGACCGATTGAAGATGAGGCGAATCGTTAGAACGACCAGAGAAATAATTCTGATGATGGCGAGAATTCTCCCAACACTGGCACCACAAGTATCACGTGACCGTGAAGTTGAATCAACTTATTGAATGTGCCAGTCTTTCACTCAAGGGACGTAATCATGTCAGTCTTTCACTCAAGGGACGTAATCATGTCATAACACGTAATGTAGAACAGTTGTCACGGAACAGTAGGGGAGGGAACTCGAGGATAAAATACAAAAAACGTAATGTTGTGTAATAAACTTTCCCATGCGTATATATCTAAAGTCCAGCTAGATTCTATATATTTTATGTTTGAGGTATTTCTATACAAAGTAAACGAGATATCTAATAGAACATGAGCTCATTGTTTTTGTTCAGATAATAGATCTATATTGTAGCATAGTATGTAATAGTCCAATAATTGATGTGTGTTTCTGTAGTCTGTATGTTAAGTGGACGGTAGAGGGGAAGTCTGGGGCTATCATATCGCGGGATGGTTTTATGTTTTAACCGTGCTATGATGGTGTTGTTATGATGATATTATGATGGTGGTATGATGATATTATGATCGTGGTATGACGATATTATGGTGGTGTTATGATGTTGTTATGATGGTGTTATGATGTTGTTATGGTGTTGTTATGGTGTTGTTATGATGTTGTTATGGTGTTGTTATGGTGTTGTTATGATGGTGTTATGATGTTGTCATGATGGTGTTATAGTGATGTTATGATGGTGTTATGACTGTGCTGTGATGATGCTGTGATTGTACTATAGTGTTGTTATGATTGTGGTACGATGATATTATGATGGTGCTAGATACTCACATATGAAATCTAGACATATTGGTTTTTATTCTAAACCTTGGGAGTAGTAGCATGAAGCGAATAGATTGTGTCATTAGTCACCACAAAGGGGAGGGGGGTGGTATCATTTTGTTATGTTTTGTAAGTGGTAGTTGAGGTATAAGATGGTCGAGGTTCTTAGTTCCATAACATGTCTCATATTTAGACAGGCTCGGGGGTCGGCAAAACCAAAAAGCCCTGAGCTAGAACCCCCGGGAAGATGTGGCTCGATGGCTAAGGACAGCATCTCATTTAAGAAAGAAAACTCCAAAATCAAACAACTGCTTACTATAATTTAACACGAAAACAACAATACATAATCTTTCGACTAAGAACAGGCCACAACAGACTAAATCAACACATGCACAGAAAACTGAAGGTTGGGTGTAGCGAAATGTGCCCTTGTGGCAAGGCCCCGGAAAACACTGAGCACGTACTCCAGGAATGTACGTTGTATAGCCAGGCGCGAGTCAGCCACTGGCCCCAGCCCACCCCACTCAGGGAAAAATTATATGGGGCACCTGACAAACTGGAGACCACAGTCCGGTTTGTCCACGAAGTTGGACTTGTTGTCTGAATTCTCCACCATATCCACAATTAAGAACGAAGAAGAAGAAGAAGAACAACTGCTAACATGGTTTGGTTCATGTATGACCATCAACTTCCCCTCCCCCAATGTTAGGTTATATATGACCATAACCCCCCCCCCCCCCATCATACTTAAGTTCATGCATGTCCATAGACCCCCCCCCCCCCCACCATAGTTAGTTTCACGTTTTAATGACCGTCCCCACCACCCAAATCACAGGCCATCGGTCTTGTGACCTTGACGTGATATCTGTCCGCACGTGAAATACGAGCCCCGCACGTGAGCCGCAGGTCTGGTTGTAAAACTCACACTGTAGGTGGACACGACTGTCCGGCTAGTGTGTGTGTGTGTGAGGGGGGCGGTACACCATCTGTTGTGTGAAGACCACGTGATAAAGAGAGGGGTCAGGACCTTTTGTTGTGAGACACGACTTTAAACATCAGACGCCATCTACCAGCGGGTCTATTTGTAACAGAGAATTCCGAGAGATTTTTTTAAAAGTTTGATAAACATGCGTGATAGTCTTTAGTGTTTGCTGGTTGATGGGGGGGGGGGGGGGGGGAGGGGGCAGAATCGGAATCGGATGACAAATCAAAGAGAGAGAACATACTTCGTGAGAGTGGAAGAAATAAGAAAAAAAGTGTGTGGGATGTCGAAGTTAACTTAACAAAAAAGCTGAGTTTGTGTACGGTGGATCTGAGCACTCATCTTCACGAAAAGCAATGTAATTGATCCTACACCTGTAAGATAGACTATCTTACACCTGTAAGATGGAATATCCTAAACCTGTAATCTGGACTATCCTACACCTGTAAGATGGACTATCCTACACCTGTAAGATGGACTATCCTACACCTGTAAGATGGACTATCCTACACCTGTAAGATGGACTATCCTACACCTGTAAGATGGACTATCCTACACCTGTAACATGGACTACCCTACACCTGTAAGATGGACTATCCTACACCTGTAAGATGGACTATCCTACACCTGTAAGATGGACTATCCTACACCTGTAAGATGGACTATCCTACACCTGTAAGATGGACTACCCTACACCTGTAAGATGGACTACCCTACACCTGTAAGATGGACTACCCTAGACCTGTAAGATGAACTACCCTACACCTGTAAGATGGACTATGCTACACCTGTAAGATGGACTATCCTACACCTGTAAGATGGACTATCCTACACCTGTAAGATGGACTATCCTACACCTGTAAGATGGACTATCCTACACCTGTAAGATGGACTATCCTACACCTGTAAGATGGACTACCCTACACCTGTAAGATGGACTACCCTACACCTGTAAGATGGACTACCCTACACCTGTAAGATGAACTACCCTACACCTGTAAGATGGACTATGCTACACCTGTAAGATGGACTATCCTCCACCTGTAAGATGGACTATCCTACACCTGTAAGATGGACTACCCTACACCTGTAAGATGGACTACCCTACACCTGTAAGATGGACTACCCTACACCTGTAAGATGGACTATCCTACACCTGTAAGATGGACTACCCTACACCTGTAAGATGGACTACCCTACACCTGTAAGATGGACTATCCTACACCTGTAAGATGGACTACCCTACACCTGTAAGATGGACTACCCTACACCTGTAAGATGGACTACCCTACACCTGTAAGATGGACTGTCCTACACCTGTAAGATGTACTACCCGACACCTGTAAGATGGACTACCCGACACCTGTAACATGGACTAACCTACACATGTAACATGGACTACCCTACACCTGTAAGATGGACTACCCTACACCTGTAAGATGGACTACCCTACACCTGTAAGATGGACTATCCTACACCTGTAAGATGGACTACCCTACACCTGTAAGATGGACTACCCTACACCTGTAAGATGGACTATCCTACACCTGTAAGATGGACTACCCTACACCTGTAAGATGGACTACCCTACACCTGTAAGATGGACTATCCTACACCTGTAAGATGGACTACCCTACACCTGTAAGATGGACTAATGGACTACCCTACACCTGTAAGGTGGACGTAGCTACTCACCCTCACGGAAAGCAATGTAATTGATCCTACACCTGTAAGATGGACTACCCTACACCTGTAAGATGGACTGCCCTACACCTGTAAGATGGACGTAGGTACTCACCCTCGCGGAAAGCAATTTAATTGATCCTACACCTGTAAGATAGACTACCCTACACCTGTAAGATAGACTACCCTACACCTGTAAGATGGACTATCCTACACCTGTAAGATGGACTACCCTACACCTGTAAGATGGACTACCCTACACCTGTAAGATGGACTACCCTACACCTGTAAGATGGACTACCCTACACCTGTAAGATGGACTACCCTACACATGTAAGGTGGACGTAGGTACTAACCCTCACGGAAAGCAATGTAATTGATCCTACACCTGTTCTCCACCCACTTGAGCCTGTACCTCTCATCATGCTTGTCCGTAGTTTTCTTCCATCCCAGCTCCAACAAGGGACCTTCCACTCTGGTGCACACAAAAAGTCACGTGATAAGTACCTCTGGTGTGTGGTGTGTGTGTGTGGGGGGGGGGTTACTTAGACCATTTTTGTAATGGGGGATAGGTTAGGTCTTTGCAATAGGGTATGCGTGTGTGCGGGGGGTAGCTTAGACAATTATAACGGGGGATAGGCTAGGTCTTGGTAATGTGGCATGTTTGGGGCGGGGGGGGGGGGGCGATACTTAAATTCTAATAGGCTAGGTCTTAGCAATGGGGCATGGGTGTGTGTGTGTGGGGGGGGGGGGAGTTAGTTGTCTAATTAAATGAATGGAGATATAAGGAGAGGTGAAATAGACCTGAGAGTGTTAAGTGTAGAGTGTATGTATATATATATAAATAAATAAATAAATAAATAAATAAATAAATAAATAAATAAATAAATAAATAAATAAATATATATATATATATATATATATATATATATATATATATATATATATATATATATATATAGTTATATATATAATTCAATATTGTATGACTTCTATTGCAATTCGCAAAAAAAAAAAAAAAACCAAATAAAAAAAAAACCCAAAAAACTTTTAGAACAACGAAGTTTTAAACAGGATTGAGTAAAAAAAAAAACATCAAATAAAACAGGAAATACGAATGAGGCTCACATGCGCAGTGCTAGGATTCTACTCACAGCTTACAGTTATTTCCCCTACTTAAGTAAAAGCAAGGTCGTTGGTCGGGATGAGCGTACATGCGCATGCGCGGGTGATTGGAACTCTCTTTGGGTTTTCTCAACGGCGCCAATCGTGCTAGATTTTGTCGCTGGAGTTCTGATATTCCGTCGCAGTCATGATGGAGGGGTTTGAAAGTTTTCTTTTTCTTGTGTCTACGTTCAGAGGCGGGGCGCGGTTTGGTCTTGTGTCTGGGTTTGGTAGTGGTGGGGTCACGGGTGGTTTTTCCAGAAGGTTCGTCCCGGGGGTTAGGGTGTTGACTGCTGGAGTGGTTGATGGCAGTGGTGATGATGTGGGTGGTGATGATGTGGGTGGTGATGATGTGGGTGGTGATGATGGTGGTGATGATGTGGGTGGTGATGATGTGGGTGGGGATGATGTGGGTGGTGATGATGGTGGTGATGATGTGGGTGGTTATGATGTGGGTGGTGACGATGGTGGTGGTGATGATGATGTGGGTGGCGATGGTGTGGGTGATGATATGGGTGGTGATGATGTGGGTGGTGATGATGTGGGTGGCGATGGTGTGGGTGATGGTGTGGGTGTTGATGATATGGGTTATGGTGTGAGTGATGATGATGTGGGTGGTGATGATGTGGGTGGTGATGTATGTGGTGATGATGTGGGTGGTGATAATGTGGGTGGTGATGATGTGGGTGGTGATGATGTGCGTGGAGGTGATGTTGGTGGTGATGATGTAAGTGGTGATGATGGTGGCGGTGATGTGGGTGTTGATGATGTGGGTGGTGATGATGTGGGTGGTGATGATGTGGGTTATGGTGTGAGTGATGATGATGTGGGTGGTGATGATGTGGGTGTTGATGATGTGGGTGATGATGTGGGTGGTGATGATGTGGGTTATGGTGTGAGTGATGATGATGTGGGTGATGATGATGTGGGTGGTGAAGATGTGGGTTGTGTGAGGTGTTTTTAGTAAAAGCTAACTCGGCGTTACTTAATTACTTTTTGTTACGACTGATTTTGTTCGAATCTTTGAAAGGCACTGATGAATCAATTTCACCATTAGTAAGAACTATAGAAGAGTTATAGATGTGGGGTGGGGTGGGGGAGGGGCGCCGAGTTAACCAATACTGTGATCAATGATAATGATGGTGTTATGTTGCCTGTGTCCAGCTTATGCATAGGGGGAGGTGACTAGTCAAGCAGAAGTTACTGCCCTTTTTAATGCGTTTTAGAAGTTGTTTTTTTTTCTTTCGCTTCTTCTTGGATAGGTTCTTAGTATCCGAGTTTTTGATTTTTCCACATGGCGGTTTGGTGATTGGCGGAAACCGTGGTAGCGGACAAACACGTGGTGACGTCATTAGTGAGCAATAGCCTAGCGACACGACTGCGCATGGTGATGATGGTTGCCATGGTGATGACAAGAATGTGTAATAAATATGAAATCGAAGGGACTTAATTTACACCAAAAGTATTATTATTATTTTTTTAAATATTTGTTTTGAAGAAATTTCAACGATTTGGTCAGGTACAACATCGTGGTACCAACCAGCCTTGTATCATCATCATCATCACCATAAACGTCACCATCATTATCATTCAGTTGATGACTTAGACAGGGGACGTATTCAATGCGTCAGATATACACTTACAAGACACATAAAAGACATAAGATAGGAGTTATATGACACGTGATATAGGCATTTAACCACGTGACATGGACATTTTAGCAAGTGACAGTCACATTTTGTCACGTGATACGGATGTTTAACCAAGTGATTCGGCCACATTAAACAACGTGATACAGACATATTACGCCACGTGATCGAGACACACAGAACCACGTGACACACTGAAGCACGTGACAGAGACACACTAAACCACGTGATAGAGACACACTAAACCACGTGACAGAGACACACTAAACCACGTGATTGAGACACACTGAATCATGTGACACACTAAACCATGTGATAGAGACACACAGAATCATGTGACGACGTCTACTCACAGTATGCTGTTGTTCCCGCCGCTGACGTAGAATGTGGGCTGCATGTTTGCGGGGAGGGCACACGGTGATGGTTTGCTTGTCTTGTTACCTCTCTTCCCTCCTCCCCCTCCTCCGCTGCTGTCGTCACTTCCTTTACCGAAAAAATCGTCGCCTCCTCCTTCTCCGTGCTCGCCCCCCTTCTCTTTCTTGCCACCGCTTCCCCCTCCTCTGGCGCCCCCCGCCTCGTTAGATTCGCCTTTGCCTTTTCCTGCGCTGCCGGAGCCGACTGCCTTCTTGGCGTGCACACCTCCACCACCAACTGCAGAGAGAACAGCAACAAACATTTTTCATTAATGTTCAAATTTACATTTCCCACCACCACCATCAACTGCAGGGAAAATATAACAAAAACAACAACTTCCATTGATGATCAATTTACAGATTCCTATCCACAACATAAACTTAAGGGAAAACCCCAGAATATTTCCCAAGTATGATCAAATGTACACATACTCCACATGTCTGGATGTCGCTATCAGGTCCGGCGCTACCTATAAGGCGAACTAGGCGGTCGCCTAGGGCGCTGTCCGTAAGGGGGCGCCTAAATGGGTTGGAAAAACAAATTGAAAGTTTGAGGTGGGGGGTGCACATCGAAAGTTTGGGGGGGGGGGGGTGCAAATTGAAAGTTTGCCCCCAGGCGCCGGGAAGAGTCGCTACGCTTCTGATAATACGGGGGCACAAAAAATATTGCGGGGGGGGGGGTGTTAATAAGGTTTGTCCAGGGCGCTAAATAACCTGGCGCCGACTCTGGTCGCTGTATTGTGATTTTTAAAATTTTATTTAAAACATTTCTGACGGTGTCCTGAGGCCGAAACATAACAAAGCACAGCATATTGCAACAAGTTTTTAATGTGTATCAGTGCAGCTTTAGAAAAGACACACTTTAAGGTCTTAAAACATAACTCCAGGGAAAATTCAATTAAACTTTTAAAATGATTTAATTAATTTTAAATTACGCTGGTTGCCATATGGTTGGGTAGATGGTTGCAGGGTTTCAAAAAAAAAAAACTAATTATTTTGTTCAGGTAATACAAAAAAAACCCACAAAGTAAGCAAGGAAACCATTTTCAAAACAATTTTCTTTTTTTTGAGTGGTTTTTTTTTTTTTTTATGACTAGCTTCTCAAGCTCTCAAATGTTATGGTTTATGGAGCACGGGCGGCAAGCAATGGAGGTTTCCAGAAGGTGATTCACGTTTTGAGGAAAAGCTCTAAAAGTTGTGTGTAATGTGTTGGGCGTACCACACCACGCGTATAGGTTGGATGATTTTTCTTTTATGCCAGAAAACATTACACTATCGTGTGGGGTATCTTTGACCTACTGTCAGCTATACAGCCAATTAAAATTACGTTATGTAGCCATACAGCGAAGTCACTATGACGTTAAATAGCCATACATTAAATAGCCAGCATGACTCAATATAATTATACATCCAAGTCAGTATGAAGCTATACAGCCAGCCAATTGTATCAACCATACAACTAGCCTATTTGATGCTATATGGCCATACAGCTAGCCAATTCGACCAGCCATACAGCTAGCCAATTTGACCAGCCATACAACTAACCAATTCGACCAGCCATACAGCTAACCAATTTGACCAGCCACACAACTAACCAATTTGACCAGCCATACAGCTAACCAATTTGACCAGCCATACAACTAACCAATTTGACCAGCCATACAGGTAACCAATGTGACCAGCCATACAACTAACCAATTTGACCAGCCATACAGCTAGCCAATTTGACCAACCATACAGCCAGCCAATTTGACCAACCATACAGCCAGCCAATTTGACCAGCCATATAGCCAACCAATCACCCTGGTCACGTGAACCAAGAACGTGACGCTATCGTCATCACCTGCACGTGCGATCGTCTGGTCAGATTAGATCCCGTGGAGGGGGTGGGGAAGTGGGGGGGGGGGGAGGGGATTGGAGAAGTGGGGGTGGGGGCGCTAGTCCTGGGTTTTCTTGAGGGCCATATTCACGCATGCGAGATAATTGCAGCGATGAATGGAGCAGGGCTTAGGGTGAGTGGGAGGGTAGAGGGGGGTGCCAAGTCTGTGACCCGGGGGGTGAGTGTCTTTGCTCATTTCATTGTGTGATGCGTAGGTGAGGCGTGTAGTTGGGTGAGTTATCACGCTAGACGTCTGGTGTGAGTAGTGTTGTCACGCTAGACGTCTGGTGTGAGTGGAGTTGTCACGCTAGACGTCTGGTGTGGTGGGTCGTGTTGTCACGCTAGACGTATGGTGTGGTGGGTAGTGTTGTCACGCTAGACGTCTGGTGTGAGTTGTGTTGTCACGCTAGACGTCTGGTGTAGTGGGTAGTGTTGTCACGCTAGACGTCTGGTGTAGTGGGTAGTGTTGTCACGCTAGATGTATAGTGTGGTGGGTAGTGTTGTCACGCTAGATGTATAGTGTAGTGGGTAGTGTTGTCACGCTAGACGTCTGGTGTGGTGGGTAGTGTTGTCACGCTAGACGTCTGGTGTTGTGGGTAGTGTTGTCACGCTAGACGTCTGGTGTAGTGGAGTGTTGTCACGCTAGACGTCTGGTGTGGTGGGTCGTGTTGTCACGCTAGACGTCTGGTGTAGTGGAGTGTTGTCACGCTAGACGTCTGGTGTGAGTGGAGTTGTCACGCTAGACGTCTGGTGTGGTGGGTCGTGTTGTCACGCTAGACGTCTGGTGTAGTGGAGTGTTGTCACGCTAGACGTCTGGTGTGAGTGGAGTTGTCACGCTAGACGTCTGGTGTGAGTGGAGTTGTCACGCTAGACGTCTGGTGTGGTGGGTCGTGTTGTCACGCTAGACGTCTGGTATGAAATGTGCTGTCACGCTAGACGACTGGAGTGAGTTGTGTTGTCACGCTAGACGTCTGGTGTGGTGGGTAGTGTTGTCACGCTAGATATATAGTCACTGGCAGATAACACTGATTCCCAAGAGCCGTTTAAACCACACGTTATATGTAGTCTTGTTGTCCTTATATCCGCATCTTTGTTTAGACAGTAATGTTAACGAAAATACGATACCATCACAATACTTGTAATACTACAATGGAGAAAGTGTTCGCTTTTAATTAATTTAAAAAAAAGAAAAGAAAAATAAGGCATTTTTTAATTAACAGGGTCGTATCGACGTTAGTTTGCTGGTATCGCTCAGATATATCAGTATCGTCATCGGTAACATTCTAATAACTTGTAACATGACTATGTGGGTGTTATCGATACGATTAAACCAACACAATCCCCGTACACACGACACAACTTTCCCCCACCTAGACAAGACGCAACCCACCTGACTCATTCTCTGCCTGACTCCCGTCCTCTGATGTCATCGTGACCTGCTCACCCAATCAGCGTCTGGCGACTCTAAACAAAAGCCGCACCGGTCCTCCCTTAATTAATTATTTAATTAATTAAAGTCTATTCCTTCTGATCTCTCGCCCTTATCCACCCTCTGTAGGGTCGCCAGTGACGGGGTGATTCAGCAGACGTTTCACGTGGTACCCAGACGACCGCCAGATGCTGTACCTGTCTTTGTCTTGCAGGTGAGTGACACGCCTCAGTGCTCACCAAAAGAAAAAAAACATGTCATGCGTCCCTGGACTGTTTACACTTCCCACACACCCGATACGGAGGGAAAAAATTTCATTGTTTTAATTCACTTAAGGGGAGAGAAAAATTCCTTTTTATCTTTTTTTTTTAAAGATTTTTTTTCTCACATACAAAAACCGCTTGCGTCAGTTTTTTTTTTTTTTTTTATAATTTAAAATAAAAATCTTTCTCTACAGCTGGTATTGCAAGCCGACTTCTATGTGAGTTGAAGAGTAAAAAAAAAATACAGACACGCTGTGTTTCTGGTCTTTTATGGGTGTTACCAGATGACAACCAGCTGACATCCCGCGGGTTGTCGTGGGCCACTTGAGCTGTCTCCTGTTTCCCGCGCGCTGGCCGGCTGTTTATTTTGACCGGCCCAGCGTAGCGTCTGTATCCCGACGCCCCAGACACCCAGGCGAGATGCGACGCTCGGTTTGTAAGGAAAGTCGGTCTGGCGGAGTTACTTCCCGTGGGCGTTGGTTTAGCAAGGGAGATCACTTAATCCAAGAAATTTGTACAAAGAACGATAACTCAACAAATCTGCTGATAGTCTACAAATCCAACAGATATTGTCAGAACTTTTCATAGTTTACACTTTCATTGTCTATATCCAATCGAAATTGTTATGAATATTATTATTTTACACAATGTTAGTCTATATCAAATAGAACTTGTCAAAGCGTTTTATAATTTACTCTTTAATAGTAAGCAAACCCAATAGAAATTATTACAATTTTTTATATTTATCAGTATTAAAATTTTTACACTTTAATGCTGCAAATTGATTAAAGCTTTACATCTGAACTAGATGAAATAATAAGTAACAACACACGTTATAAACAGCACAGTGAGCACATCATTGTGACAATATTTGTCAACACATCCAAGGGAAATAACACATTCCTTCTGGATAGCTGAAATCACAACACTACATTACCACGTAGGACAACTAACGCAGCGTATCAGGGGACATCTAGATCTAGGTGGACAAGGGAGACAACATCAATACAAACCACTTGAAAATAAATAGAACCTAATGCATAATCGCATTAAAAAATCGAAACGGTGGCTAAACAATACATGTATAGAAATACATAGCATACACGATTTCTAACTAATAAATCATACATAAACATTCTTTCATAGGGGTTGGGGAACGCTGAAGGGGGAGTAATTCAGTAGCATATGATCTAGTATTATAATTCACTCCCTTTACTCTATTGTAACTTACAGCCAGAAATCGTTATTTAACCCATATCTGGGAACACATTTATCGCTCGATCGGTTACACGACTAAGCGCTAGATCGTTCTAATATCAATAACACGGTCGTACACGGGGAGGGGGGGGGGGGGGGTTAGACACATTGAACCAGCAAGCATCAACACGAATCTTATAGCAACTACAACTTTAGAATATCTCTAACGTCTACATTTACGTTTTACAACAATTGTTGTAAGTCGTCTACTTTTAAACTGATGTTTTTTTTTTAAATGATGAGAATAAAAAAGAAATTATTTAAAAAAAAATATAAGTTATAAGTCCAAGCACTTGAATCGTAACTCACTAAGTATTACATGTTTACAACACTTTTAGAAGAAAAAAAACAACAACAAAGAATTCACACGAGAACATGTGTAGCCTACACAAGATAATTCTATTTTTACA